ACAAAACATGGTGAAATTGTCTGTTATCACCCATGGATGAAACCTATTGAAAATTTAAAAAAAAAATGGGAACTATCATAGCTATTGACCGCAATCTTAAAAACACATTCAATTTTTAGCTTTTAAACACTAAAAGGCTCGATACATGGTAATATTGTCCAGCATCACCCCAAAAAGTGTACGACTTAAAGGTTGAATATTTCATACTTTGACTGGCAGGCTATCTTTTCGTCTTTTGAACAATCAACCTGCCAGTTACCTTCGACTAAAATACAAAAATCAATGCTTACTGAAATCTGACAACGCATGCACCACGGGAAAAACAATACAACCGTGTTGCCACTCTTGGACCACAATGAACCAGCAAATTTTATTGTCGCATGTAGAAGTTTCATAGATCATCTTACAGTCTTACGGCTTTTTCTCCACTAATTTGTGCCTTACAGTTGTGGTATACTTAATCTATATATATTCTAGGTCTGGTAGTTTAGAACAGTCATAATGATAAAAGTTGGTTTTTATAAGTCTTCGTGAAGATCTACTTGAGATTTGCATTAGACAGACACTTAGTTAATCTTATCCAGATGTATTCAAGGCTTTCACCTATAGACCACCTGAGAACAAGATGCTATATTAATAGTTCAGTTACAGACAGACTAAAAACTACTTTACCTTATATTCCACACATTAAAAAGGCAAACTACATGCCCATTGATATATGATGACCTTGCAAGCTGTAAATAATATGCCTCATGGGTTAAGCACAATTAACTTGATGTTCACCATACAACAGACTGCTCGTTTTACGTGATTTTTTCTATAGAAATTAGTTTTAAAATTTTGCATTCGTGTATTGCCATCTCCAATCTACAGAAAGTAAATTATCCCGATAGATCAACCTCAATTTGATTGGGCTGCTAGTTATCAAAATTAGTCAAAAAAGATTGTTTCAATATATAGATCAAGTGGTACTATAGTTTACATTGAAAGAAACTGATATGATTTGTGCTAATGGGTTTATATATAGATATTTATAAGACATAATGTAGCGATAACAAGTATCAGATTCGGCCTTTCAAAGATAGCTAGATTATCATCCAAATTGCCGCAATCAGTTCAGCTCGTTTGTGTGTATTTTGGAACTGGTTCCATGCCAAACGCTACACTGCAGCTATCTCTACAGACCCAATCATATCCAATTATATGTTCCTTTGTAGAAATTTGTAACAATTATCTCGTTAAATACATACTTAAATTGAAATTGAAGATAATAAAAAAAGGTGTTGTACTTACATATTATCCAATAGCCGACTGTTTTAGAACACCTTGAATAAGTATAGGTTAATCTCCTAAAAACTAGGTATATAAGACAGTAGAGGTACTGTGTAGGATGAATGTTACTAGAATAATATAATCTGAAGAGATGTATTATATACCTAACTTTACTTGTTATACTTTCTAAGATTAGTAAACTACTGGTGTAGTACCACTATCAATTAGGCAGTCACCCAATTCTTCACTGTCTAAATTACAATAACAGATCCTGTATACACCGGCATATTTCATAATGATATACCTTTTCTATACAGGCTAGAGTATATTGTTGAACTCGCAGAACAATTTGTATCGGTAACTTAAAGAAACACCAACATATTATTCTTTGGAGGAAATATGCGTAAAATCTGTTTTATTTTGTGTTAGATTTCGTGTAACAACATTTCAATCTTCTTTATGTTACAAAGAACTTGGCTCGGCTATCTTTTTCTTGATCAAACTTTTTCAATCATATTTTGATGTGTATAGACCAGAAATGGAGCCTGCGTTCTTCAGCACTTTTCGGTGAGTTCGCTTACTTTGCTCATAAACAAGTCCTATTTCGAAAAGTTAACCAATAATTCCAGAACATTTCTGATAAGGATTGTGTCAGCAGCATGAGATGAAATTTAGTAATTTAATTATCTGAAATCAATGCCCTGTTATGCTCTTGTCATAATCTGAAAAGTTGAAAGTTTATAGGATTCATCGATGATTTAGAAGTACGCATCTAATACAGATCCTGACGACACTGACTGACAGCACGTGTAATGCACTGTACCTCTATCGTAATGAGAAGGTGTATAATAGGAACTGAAAGCTCGTGTCTTTAGGTAAATGTTGCAAGTTTACATGATTGTGTTGAGATCCCGAGGTTGCAGTTCTGTGTTTTTTCGTCTTCAATTGAAGATACCAGACAAATCATGTCATGATTTAAAGGGTTCGTGAAACGTCTCAATCGACTGTCACTGCATCATTTGGCAACTTATGGTAGGTTTCATAAAGCTGCTTACCATTGCACGTACAACACTGGCCAAGGTATTACAAATTTCGTCTTATATCTAACTTGGACTGTTCTGGTATCACGGAATATAGCAATTTAATTGAGTTGTACACCAACGAATACAGCCAATCCAAGCCCTCGGGAGAAAAACGGGTAACATCATGGCTTTACAGAGGCTGCATTCACTAGCGTACAATCCAATAATATCACTGCATTTCCGAACTTCCGTGATACATGAGGCTATTGTAGTCAAGATAGGACGAAGTTCGTAAACCTTAACAATATTGTGAAGACTCAAGAGGGGTCGAATTCTTTTAGTAGTTATTAGCAGTCAATATATAAAAGTATCGTAAGATTTGTCTTGAGTCTGATAAATACAAAAATATGTTCGAAGTTTGCGGCTTGACTCACTATCAAACGAAATATTCGATCCCATCTGGGGATATTGCCTGAAATGATCTCCATCAGTCGTAGCACTGCATCTTTAAAGTGTACATGGGCCACAATACTGATATTGATTGAGAAAAATCTTTGGCGAGTATTGAATATTATTAAATGCTGTACCATATGTTGTAATAATCAATTAGTTTTAAACTCTGCCAATGTTATTTGACATTCTGTTATTTTAGCTGTATAATTTATAAAGTACGTCTCATTATGATATGCATCTACTCTAACCACTTAGAATTATTTTTCAAATTATATTACATTGTGTTGCTGTCATTTTAAAAGGCAACAATTAACATTTTCGGGGGCTGTAAATAGCCTTCAGAAATACTAGAACTGTACTAAAATATCAAAAATACCTCAGGTAATTATTAAGCTACAGACCTAACTGCTCTCTTACATGAAAAGGCGAATCGTCATCATAACTTTCTATCTCGGATAATTATTGATATACCATAAACATAAAATTGTATAACTATATATAGAAATAGTAGGCTACATGACTTCGGCCACGCCCATTAGGCTCAGTTCACATAGGAGTATACGGGATACGGTATACACTGTATGGGTGCGCGTGTTACCCCATGTGACTTTCCGTGCACGTATAGCGTGTAGCGAATACCGTATACCATACTCCTTTGTGAACTCAGCCTAAGGTATCCGCTTGCCTTTCAAAACGTGCACCGTATACCCGAAGAGCATTGCCTACTCCTATGTGAACTTAGCCTTATGCCTACAGTGTATATATATTACGTTTTTCATGCTTTATATTTTACATTGAATAAAAGACCTTTCGAAAAGGCATTTAGCTTTGTATACACTGGCAAAATGTCAGGAAACAACAGGACACAAAACAAGTGGGTACAATTGGATAAAACCAATGGCTAGATGTGTCCAGAAAATGAGCGGGGCTGCATATTTTCTGTAGAAAAATGGCTACCACAAGGAGAAAAAAGATTTGTTGTCGGGTCTGCTGCTGTTATTTATACGGTAATATTGGAGAGGAGAGGAGGGGAAACGAGGACGACGAAAGAAAAGAAGCTGTGGACCAGGCCGTGGATTTATCAAATTTATCAGCAATTTCTTTCAATGTTGCCTTCTTCAGATTCTTGTCCTTGTGGGCTTTTGATTTGATGTTCCATACACAGAGACAACTTTCCCAAACCTTGATTAGCTCTTCTATAGCACTCAATCACCAGTCCATGGTGGCTGCAATCTTGTCCAAGTCAAATAACAATACAGATGACTTGAAGCTGATTTCTGATTGGTTAGAACTTGGCTTCATTTGAAAACATGTATCCAAATAATTCCATTTCAATTTATTTGCAAAGTGCTGTCGACACAAATGTGTCGGCTTGTGTCGAGAAAATTTTTACCCTGTATACACTATCAATATTTTTGGAAACATTTGGAAACATCGTGTATCCACTTGTTTTGTGTCATGTTGTTGCCAGTGTACACAGAGCTTAAGTTAAGCTATAGTTCAAAAGTATACTTATTGCATCGACATATGGCACTCAATGTGGATTTTGCTAACTTGATCCGATATCTGAATAGGCCGGAACTTCTGTCTCTGTTCAAGCCTCTGATAGAACAGGATCTCATCTGGTTTAGTGACAGAATAAAGGCCCTGTTAAATGGGGACATTCTGCATCTCCATAGGTGTGAAGTCTTTAAACTTATTTAGATAGCTCGGATCTGCAAAACCCAAATGCATCTTCGGAGGTGTGGAAAATTTCCAATTAACAGGGTCTTTCTTTCTGACAACTATTAAAAGAGGCAGATGTTTCATACTAATATCTTTGTTGGGTGTATAAATAAGAACTTGAAACCATTCAACCTGGAATTTCTAACAGTCTACTCAGAACATGTAGGCCTATGTTAAACAATTAGTAGTGCATTCAAGCGCTCAATTATTATTCATCTCATTTCATGGAAATATCCTTCATTTAATGTAATTTTTCTCTCTGAAAAGTTTTGTCGCACCTTCCTCAGTTATTATGAATCAAACAGTACCTTCGGTCTTAGCTGTTCTTTACGAAAATTGCCGAATGGTTACGCCTTTTACCAGTTACTAGTTCAAAACGAACTGACGTAAAGACTAGGGTCAGAGAGTATAATCATTCTATACTCTCTGCTAGGGTTGATAAAACGAACTGACTGACGTCTTTTCATAGAAGGCGCTGTTTTTATGAAGCAAGTCACATGATGATAACAAATAGAAAGAAGAAAAACAATGGCCGAAGCTGTCAGACCAGAATCTTCTCAGTCCAAGGTTGGTCTGGTAAAACGTGATTTCATACTTATACTTGATTGTTTTGCAAAGAGCATTAGATGATTAAGGCCATCATGTTGTTGTCATTGTGTTGTGTGGCTGATTTTAAGCACATACATTCTAAATACAGACAGAGCTTTCTGTGATTGCTTTTACGTCGCAAAAATAAAATGTGAAGGAATAAGATTTTAAATGAAACTTTATATCACACATAGTTCATATATTGATAAGGCATAGGTGGCCATATATTTTTTCTATATGTACTACTAATGCTAATCATTAACCTATAAAGGGACATTCCGCTTTTTGTAGGTCGATGTTTCCTCACATTTTTTAAAATAATTAAAATTGGTTTGTTTCGATTTTAATTTTTATTTATGAATCTGTCACCTTGACCCATGTTTCATGAGTAATCAACTTAACAACGGCTGCAAAATGCCTCACCTATTTTCGTGTACAATGTATAGATAAGTCCAGAAAAGCACATTGTATGGATACCCGGTGGTATAATTAACTTTTCTTTATATTTATCTTTTAAGATAATGTTTCATTATAACTAATGACAAAGATCAATAATTTTAAGAAAAACAAGTGACTGACAAAATAAAACATAAGAGTGGTTTATTGCTAAAAAGTCATTGAAACAACATAAGAATACAGCCCACAATGTGTTCCATAAAAGAGAAATACCTCTCTTACTTATTCTAAAGGCTTCAAACACCAAAACTATGTCAAACTGCTGAAATAACAATTACTACTCTCCTTTTTAAATTAACCCTTTTAAAATAGTAGATACATAGATACTACAAGCAAATATTTTCATGTATAATTTACGATGTTTTTGATATGATAAGTTTATACTTATATTATTTTCTTTTAGACATAGTCTTACTTTTGGCTCTTTTGAAACATACAATGTAACATAAGCATTTGAAATAATAGAAAGAAGGTCATTGAAACTAGATACACTCATTCAAGTGCACTCCAATATTTCTTATCACAATTATTAAATCCCTTAGCTTATTGTATTTTCAGGCTAAAACAAAGTCAAAGGTCAAAGTTAAAAAGGTTAAAGAATATGAAGAGAAAGAAAAGATTAAAAAAGAACTGTCTAAGAATTCAGTCGAGGGTCTAATCAATTCTAATAAAACACAAGAAATATCGCAATTGGAAAATAAAGCAGAAGAGCTTTCATATGAAGATACTCCTGGTTTTGATACAAAGTCTGCAGGCCCTATCTCAAATCAAAATGAAGACACCAACTTAGTTCCATTAAGTACCATTGAAATGTCTGCTGATGCTGTTACGGTTCCTGAAGATCATAGTGAATTTCCAGATAATGCTGTAGGTGATGGTGTAGTTACTTTACATACTAATGTAGTTCCATTGGATGGTAGTGAAGAGAAGACATTAGAAAGTGTACCAGAAACTAAAATTCCAGATGAAATATTCTCTAATAAAGAAATCTTGGTTCAAGACTCAGACACATGTGATGTTGAACCTGTGGACCAGCTGTCAGGGTTTGTAACAGCACCACAGACATCTGAGGCCCTTTCTGAAGTGACTCTCAGTGGTGAAATACCATCAGACAGGGAATCAAATTATCAAGAAATCCACTACAATCCTTTGACTTTAGCAGAGAGTAATGTTTTTAGATTACCAGAAGAGGCAGCTGTTCTCAATACTAGTGAAAAATCAATTTATCCAGACTTAAGTCATCTCTGTGAAGATGGCATGTCAACAAAGGACAATGTATTGAGCACAGTCACTGAAAATGTTGAATTAAGAGTTACTGGCCTTGAAAACAATACCGGCACTGCTGAAAGTACCAGTACTGTTATTGATTCTAGTGCCCCTGATTCTGGTGTTCAGGCTGTAGAATATAGTGTTAACACTGTTGTTACCAACGATACAATCGTGATAACTGGTGAAATTACAAATGAAGCTAGTGGTCTCCTTGTTACTGATGAACCTATTGTTAGTGGTATTACTAAAACTAGTTACAGAACTGTGACAGCTGTTGAAGATAGTGATTTAGTTCCTGCAGTTGCCACTATCAGTGATTCTGCTAACATTGCGTCACCGAAAGTCAACATCGCTCAAATGACAGAAAATCAAAACATGGTTGTCATAAGTCCTGAACAGATCTCTGCTGCAATCAAACTACATTGTAATCAAAATATAACATCATTATCTGAAAGGTATAATGAGGATGTTTCAAGTCATTTAGAAACTGACACTGCTCTTGTGAAACCACTAGAAAGCTTAGTTCATGAAATGGCTCATTCTTCAATTGATTCAGATGACCTTACTGGTCAATTTGAGGTTATCAATCAACCCAAAATAGAAAGTGAAAGTATATTTACAGAGCCTCAACATGTCTCACTAGAGGATGTACCTAGTGAAGACTATACATCATTTTTACCAGATGAACAATGTATGTTCCCACAATCAAGTGTTCAATCAAAACCAGTTAGTGAACAAACCCGCCGTGTTCATATAGTTAAAGAAGCTATATGTGATAGATTTAAACCCATGACATTTGAACAGTTACAGTTGTTATATTATAATCCTCAGTTAGTTCAGAGTACAGCATTTATAGATCAGTTCATTGTTGTAAGTATGAAATTCATTTTATTTTTTGAATCCTCGATGGTGGAAATCCAAATTGACACTGACTGTTCATCAGTAGATCTAAACAAATCACAGTAATTTAAACAATTCTAATATATTTCAATAATGTCTCTTAACACCAATTTTCACATAATTAATAAGCTTATCTATTGCTCTATTGCTAGGTGAATACTTTCATTGAGATCCATCTCAATACAGCCGAACACCAATCGAGCTTTACATAAAAGAAAGTCAAGACCAGACATATTTGCAGTTATTTTAACTCAAATCTTAAACCTTTCTCTAAGTCTATATAAAACATCGACCTAGTTTCTCTTTTTGGTCATATTCCTTAATCTTCTAAAATTATACTCTGGATGTAATTTATCGACACATTTTCTATTTTAGTCTGAAGGAAAGAAAGAGAACCATGAATTTCATGAGATATTGTGGAACTATTTCCGAGCTAGGAAGAATTTATTGAATGCTGAAGAAGAGATTAAGTTATTGCAACATAAATATAGTCAGTTACAAGAAGAAATGTGGTTAATACAACCACAGTCAATAACAGCCCAGGTATAGTATAAACATCATGATAAAAGGACAGCCCCTACTAACCCATTTCACATTGTAGTTCCACATACTATAGGTGCCTAAATGTAAAATTATATGTAGTGTGTCTGTCAATTGTTAAATACCAAAGGAGAAAGTCGTCAAAGATAGCCAGTGAGTAATTGGCAGAGCTGACTACATCATATTTGTTTTTAATTCTCATTTCAAATTGGCTCAACACAGTTACATGTTCAGATATAAAGTTGGACAAATGTGTGAGATAATTAATATAGTGTATAATGTATGTATTGTATTTCAGGGTCAATGTGGAGATAAAGCCAAAGTATCTAAAGTACATGTGTATGAGAAATGTGAACTAAATGGAGATAGTTTAAAGAAAATGAAAGAGATATTGGATAATACAAGAGATAATATTGTCAATAAGATATCTCTGTATGCCTACTCTTCACAGTTATCTAGGTAAATAAATATAGCATTCATATAGGGAATGCTTTTTAAATGCCCATAATGTGGTCATGTATTATAATTTGCCATCCATTCACTTTTGTCTTATTCTCATTCTTATTCTTAAGATAATATTATAGGATCGAGGAAGTTTGGAAGCTGAAAAGTTATGCAATGATATATATTACAGACTGATGAATAAAGACAGTTAATAAGATTTACACAACTGTATGGGAATAATTGATATATGATTTTAAGTTGAAAATGTTTAATGTATATTTTTTAGACTACAGGTTGAATCCTATATTTATTCATTATACCAATCATGTCCTGTTATTAGAGATCTACCTAAAAATACTCCAGTGCAAGGTAATGTCATCGTGTTTTAACCATACCAACTTTTCATGGCATCAGTTTGCATTCACCAGATTATGCTAGTACAAGTTACACAGTAAAATACTTTGTTGTACAAGTTACATGGTAAAATACTTTGTTGTACAAGTTACATGGTAAAATACTTTGTTGTACAAGTTACACAGTAAAATACTTTGTTGTACAAGTTACACAGTAAAATACTTTGTTGTACAAGTTACACAGTAAAATACTTTGTTGTACAAGTTACACAGTAAAATACTTTGTTGTACAAGTTACATGGTAAAATACTTTGTTGTACAAGTTACACAGTAAAATACTTTGTTGTACAAGTTACATGGTAAAATACTTTGTCGTACAAGTTACATGGTAAAATACTTTGTCGTACAAGTTACACAGGAAATTACTTTGTTAGCTACACAGAAAGTACTTTGGTTTAGAATTTCCAACATTAAGGATTTTAGAGTTATTGCCCATGTCTCTCTCTTTAAGTTCTCATAAGATATGTTTTGTTACTGTGTATATATAGTACTTTAAGAGGAAATGGATATATGATACCAATATACGTAATATGAACCCAATCAATTGAAAATGTTTTCAGCGAATTTAAAACAAAGATCAGAATATCTACATCAAGTTAATAGGTTGAAGGATTGTATATCAGTTTTATTTGGATTTCATAGAAGACCGTGTAGGGATGAAGAATTTAAACAAAATATCAGGAAGTGGACTGAGACCATGGTGATTATTTTTTCATGATATTATAAGTTAAAAATTAGACCCGAAAGTCTTACAGAAAAATTGATAGTTTATTATAGTATCTGGTTACGATCTGATAGAATTATGTTTGTGGCAGTGGTGGAGTCGGCCTTCCGAGACTGGTGGTACAAATAGTTTGCAGACTGACTCAATGGGGGGACGACTGTGGAGGCTGAAGTCAAAATGCGGCAATTCTGTGGAAGCCTCTTATCGCAAGCCTCTCCCAAGAACGTTTTTATGTGACCAATATACCAATTTTTAAAATGTAGCTGTTATCCAAGGCTTTGAGTATACAGTTTGTAACAGGGATTCCGACAACTATTTGTAAAATTTCAGGTTGGCAGTTTGTTACGTTTAGCTACATTTGAAGATCATTGTTTTATATTAAATCATATATTAAGATGTCCTGGTGGTATAGGCCAGTGGGCTAGTAAATTGATACAGATACCACCACCAGTAACTACGGTCGAGGGAATATTTGGAAGTCCTCTATTAGATCATGTTGTTGTTTGTTTAGCAACTGTTTTATTACATCCAAGGTAAGGAGAATGACTAAGGAGAAATAGTTGCCTAAAATTCACTGTTCAATCTGATATTGGTTGTAGCAGTTTTTGTAATGACAACATTTTAAGTCAGGGTTATATGAAATTAACAAATTTTTGTGGAATATAAATATTATTTAACTAACCTACAAGACACATAGAATATATATAAATTGCTTTGCTTTTGCTTTGTCACACTTTGTTTTAAGTCCATCTTGAAAATGATCCTGTGTTTCACAGTGAGTATAATAAAGGAAAGGTTTTGGAATGAAAAAATGAAATGAATGTAGTTTTACTCTGATGAAGACGAGCAACACCATGCAGTGTGCCTTAAGGGAAATTTTGGAGAGCAGCATTTGTCTACTTTTTTATACGCCCACATGGAAATGTGGACGTATATTGCCGTCGGTCCGTTGGTTTGTCGGTTCGTCAACATTTCTTGTGAACACAAATCAACTGATTTTAATGAAATTTGGTGTGATCAATTATATTGATGAGATCTTGGTCAAGTTCGAATTTGACGATCTTTCAATGAGCGTTTTTTTAGTTATTGCCCTTGACTTTGGAAAAACGCGTCAAAATTTGTTTGTGAACACAATAGAGTCTACAGTTTTCAACTGATTTTAATGAAATTTGGTGTGATCATTTATATTCATGAGATCTTGGTCAAGTTCTAATTCTAATGAACGTTTTTTAGGAATGTTGATTTAGGAAGACGCATACAAATTTGTTTGTGAACACATTAGAGACTACAGTTTTCAACTGATTTTAATGAAATTTGATGTGTGATATTGATTTTTTAAAATTTGGTGGAATTTCTCAGCATAAATAACTGGCAGTAAATACATATATCAATGAATGCAAAATATTAAAATTTCTTTAATATGAGAAAATTCATACTGTAGTCACTAAAGACTGTTAAATCATTTCTGACAGCTGCCAGTGGGCGTATGTTACCTTGCCTGGCAAGCTATCTTTTTTATTCCAATTGTCGAGGTTGGGTTCTCAGTTTATTGTGTCATCCAAACTAGATGCTTTTGAAGAAATGAGGTCTAATGAAGTAAAACATCATCAAATTTGATTAAATGTGAATGTTTATATATATACATAGAGCTAGAGAAGAGTTTATGGGTCATATGAAGTTATCAGTGAACCCTGATAGTTTAAATCAAGATGCTACCTGGATACTAGTTGATTCTGATGGTGAGGAGGTATGTACCATCTAGTTTACAGACTTATATTGTACTATTTAACTAGCCAATGAAACTCAATATGCAAGAGAGCACTAAATAGTAAAAATAAGTCTGGACAAGTCAATAACTTTTTGGCATTTTATCATTCATGAAACTGTCTGACAGCTTTTTCGTTTTTATGAGTTATTATATTTCTTTAAAACCTAGCCCCAAAATTTCTATTGAAGACAAAATTA